GATGGACCCCAGGAGTCCTGGTTCCCAGCCCCCCTGTTCTAACCACTGGGCCCCACTCCCCTTCCAGTGCAGGGGATGGACCCCAGGAGTCCTGGCTCCCGGCCCCCCTGTTCTAACCACTAGGCCCCACTCCCCTGCCAGTGCAGGGGATGGACCCCAGGAGTCCTGGCTCCCTGATCTAACTCAGGAGCCCACACAGCTCAGTTAGTCCTTGGCTGGTTTAGGCCAAAAGGGTGACAGCTGCCTCTGGCTCATGTGACTCGTGGCTGGCCCCATGTGCTGTTGGAAACGCTGAGGCAGCTGCTGGCTGGCTGGCCAGGAAGGGAGAGCGGGTCCCAGCCCAGCTGAGCACTGCCAAGCTCCTGACAGAGAGTGTGGGGCAAGCGCCGCCCCCCGCCCTGTAGCCGGCCCGGGGGCTCTTGGTGCTGGTGGCCCGGGACTCTGGGACTCTTTCCCCGCACCTGTACCGGGGGTTCTGAGCCGAGCCCTGGCAGGGAGGGGGTTAACCCGGACCTGAGCTGGGCCCGGGCGTTCTGGCCCTGCCTGGGGCTGGCACCGAGCCAGGCAGTCCTGCTGCGTGCCAGGCCGAGGGCGTGTGCGTTACCAGCGCCCGGCCCCAGTGACGCCATGGCGGGGGCTCTGCCCATGGGGCTTGGTGCCCTGGGGGCCTGAGGCAGCTGTGTGACCGCACAGCTGGGCTGGACCTGGGTACCACGGGGCACCGTCCCAGGGGGGATGGTCCTGTGGTGCCTCCCTTCCGGGTGTCTGCTGCATGGCGCGGGGGGGGGGGGGGGTAGACATGCCTGTCTGTCCCGCCGTGTCTGTCTGTCTCCAAGGGTTGGTGCTGAAGCTGGGAACTGTCTGGCTCTGTCAGTACATCAGCCCCTCCGCTGCCCACAGCCGGCCTGAGCGTACTCCCAGCGGGACTCCTGGGTCCCCAGGCAGCCTGCCCGCGCGGGGGATCCCAGGGCAGGGAGGTCGGGAGGCTCCGGCTGACGCAGAGCGAACTCTGCCCCATGCCTGCCTTGGGTCAACACGCCGAGTAAACAGCTCCCTGACAGCTGGGAGGGGAGTCTGTCTGTCTCCAAGGGGGGGTGCTGAGGCGGGGAAGGCCCTAACGGGGCCGCTTCGGGGCTGGGGCCCCGGGCCCGCGGGGGGGGGGCCGGGGCTCTCCCGTGTGCCTCGCCCCGCCCCCCCCCCCCCAACCCGGATTCACCCCCACAGCACGGGTGTCTCCCTGGTGTTCGGCCCCAGCCCCTGGTGCGGATTGACTAAGGGGCCGGGCGCTCAGCCTGTCTGGACCCGGGGTCAAGCAGCCAGGCTGCAAATGCTGCCTGGAGCCCTGCCCGGGGGTGGGGAGTGGCGGATCGGGGCCAGTCCCTGGGGTAGGAAAGGCCTGGGGACGCAGCCCTGGCTTTGCCTCTGGATTAGCGGCGGGTGCGGCGCTGCCGCCCCCCTCCCCCCACCCCCCACGGAGCCTTTCACTGCCCCCGGCAGCCGCCTAATTGCCCGGCTTAGAACCCACCTGGGCGTGAAATCCCATTACCCAGTTCCCCGCGCTGGAGCTGTTCCCGGAGCCGGCCTCACGCAGAGCCCAGGGGGGGTACGAAGCCTGGGACCTGCTGGACTGAGCCAGGGGCTGCACAGGGCAAGGCTGAGCTGGGAACCAGGACTCCTGGGTTCTCTCTCCAGCTCTGGGAGGGGAATGGGGGCTAGTGGGTTAGAGCAGGGGGGGCTGGGTGCCAGGACTCCTGGGTTCTCTCCCCAGCTCTGGGAGGGGAGTGGGGTTTAGTGGTTAGAGCAGGGGGGGCTGGGTGTCAGGACTCCTGGGTTCTCTCCCCAGCTCTGGGAGGGGAGTGGGGACTAGTGGTTAGAGCAGGAGGGGCTGGGAGCCAGGACTCCTGGGTTCTCTCCTCATCTCTGACACTGACCCTGTGGGATGCCAAGCATAGTTCTTTTGCCTGTCTGTGCCTCAGTTTCCCATGGGGAGACCCCTACACACACGTGGGGGTAACATCCTCTCCCCTGTCGTGTCATCCCTCCTCCCCCCCTTCCCCCCCGTCCAGGCTACGGCTACACCACGCCGCTCTCGGACTCCGGCAAGGCCTTCTGCATCTTCTACGCCCTGCTGGGGGTGCCCTTCACCATGCTGGTGCTGACGGCCACCGTGCAGCGCCTGGCCCGGCTCTTCACCCACCGGCCCCTCGAGTACCTGCAGCTGCGGTCTGGCTACAGCCACCAGGCGCTGGCCCGGGCCCACTTCCTGCTGCTGCTGCTGGCCGTGCTGGTCACCTTCTTTCTGCTGCCGGCCGCCGTCTTCAGCACCCTGGAGGAGACCTGGAGCTACCTGGACGCCTTCTACTTCTGCTTCATCTCGCTGTGCACCATCGGGCTGGGCGACTACGTGCCGGGCGAGCAGCCCGGCCAGAAGCTACGGGCGCTCTACAAGGTCTCAGTCACCGGTGAGCAGCGGGCCTGGGGGGGCAGCTCCGCTGGGGGGGTTCTCATGGGCGCGCTCCGAGCGAAGTCAGGCAGGACCCTCATCCTGGTGCGTCTGCCCTCAGGGCACCGGCACCAGGGCAAGGAGCCTGCTTGGATCTGACCTGGGAGCATTCAGCCCCCTGGTCCCCCGCAGGGACGCCTGGGGGAGCCTCACACCCCCCAAAGGGCCCTGCCCCCCACTCCCCAGTCAGCCGTGACTCAGCCAGCGTGGAGAACAGGTTTATTAGTCACCAGGACGCTGCGGAGGACAGAACTCGTTAGCACAGGCAGCAGGAAGCTACCAAAAGGGCGGGGGGGGAGGGGCTATCCCCCCCCTGCCCACACACACACAGTCCTGACCAGCCCAGCCCCTGACACACCTGCTGCCCCTCCTCCTCCTGGGCAAACCGGTCACTGCCCCCACCTCTGGCACAGCTGCCAGGTTAGAGAGTCCGGCCCATGCACCTGCCCGCTTGGGTCCCTGCAAAAACCACACCCCCTTGTCCCACCACCGAGGTCACTGTGTCATACACAGGGGAAACTGAGGCACACAGTGCTCATGCAAAACGTTACGGGAAACCCCCCACCCCCACTTTGTCACAGGTGTCTAGGGGGCAGGTACCTGGGTGGGGGAGGGGAGAGGGGGCCCCTGTAGCCTCGCAGGGGACAGTCCGGGGAGACTTGGGTGCAGCGTCTGTGTGTCTGTTAGAGTCATTTCAAGCCAGCCGGGCTGATGCCCCGTGGGGACGGCTACATCCTGAACATTACCTAGGGTACACTGGAATTCGGTGGGTGAGAGCAGGGGGGCTGGGAGCCAGGACTCCTGGGTTCTGTTCCCGGCTCTGGGAGGGGAGTGGGGACTAGTGGTTGGGGGGGGGGGGGGGGGGGCAGGACTCCTGGATTCTGTTCCCTACTTGCTGTGTGCCGGGGCCTGGCCCAGCGGGGGCAGCGCCGCTATAGCTCCAGGGGCTGACCCCAGGTCCCCACAGGGGCTGACGCCCTCTCGCTCTCTCCCAGTGTACCTGCTGCTGGGGCTGATGGCCGTGCTGCTGGTCCTCCAGACCTTCCACAAGGCGGCCGACCTGCACGGCCTCACCGACCTCCTCCTGCTGCCGGCCGATCAGCACAGCGACCAGGAGCCCATCCTGGAGTCCGAGGGGACGCCGGAGGAGCTGGCCCCGGGCGCGAAGCCCCCACCTGCCAGTGCCCAGCTCAACACGGGCAGCCGTGCCAACTACTCCTCCATCAGCAGATAGCGTCAGCCCTGCCCTGGGTGCGGGCGCTGGCTGGCGCGGGGAGGGGGCTCTGTTTGCGGGGCAGTTCCCTGCAGGGACCGTGCCTGTGTCTGAAGCAGGCTCTGGCTTGGGCCCGGGCAGCGGGCGGAGTTGGGGGCTCTTGCACGGCTCCTGGCTGCATGTTGTGGGGGAGCTCGCGCAGGGTTTTAATCAACACGTCCCTGTTTTAAGCGGCCGTTCGCCCTGTTTTATCCCAGGGCAGGTGCCTGGGACCTGCCCTGTTTCCCAGACCCACCCCAGGCAGCCCTGCCGAGCTGGGGACCCTTGGAGCCGGCTGCGCTGGACCCAGCCTGGGCCGTCACCTCCGGCGCCGCAGGCTCTGGCTGACGGAGGGAGGGGGAAGGCAACGTGCTGGGGCCTGGCCCAGGCTCAGGTTGAGCAAATCCTGTACATGCCCAAGGCTTGGGGTCAACGCCCCTCCTGCCCCCAAAAACAGTACCCCTCCACCCACACCAGCTCTGAGCCACCCTCCCCCGAGCCCAGGGCAGGGGGCTGCCTCCAGCCCCTCCCGCAAGAGGCAGCCTGTCACGGGGCACCCGCAAGGGAGTGAAAAGCCCCTTTCCCTGGGGGGCCCAGCCCTGGGAGCGGGGATCCCCGGCAGGGCCTGCAAGGTGCTGCCTTTGGGGTGGGGTGACTTTCTGGTGTTTTGGCAGGAGCCAGAGGGGGTGGGGAGCGGTGCTGGGTGTGGGGCCCAGTGTCCCAGGCCTGGGGGGCCTGGCTGTGATGCGACGGCAGCTGGACTCTGCCAGGAGCCGGGTTGAACAGTCATGGGGGGGTTGCCTGGCACCGCTCAGGGAGGGTTCTGGGGCCACCACATGGGCCTGGCCCCTGTGGGCATCTGCCAGGGTCTCTGCCCGGCTGCTGCTGCCACTCCATGGCGCCAGGTGCAGGACAGAGCGTAGCAAGACGGGCATGGCCCACGAGGGGTGATGGCCCCTCCCACCCTGCCCTGACAGGGCGTCGCGTGTCGAGTGGCAGCGCGTGTCGAGTGGCAGCGCCCTCTGCTGCCCCGGGAATCAGCCTGGGGGGCACGGGGGGGGGGGGGGGGAGGGGAGAGGGTCCCGAGGGGGAACCCCCGGGGCACTGGCCCAAACACGCGCCCCTGGGAATTCCCCCCCCCCCCCCGCCCCGGGTGTGCCAGCTGCGGGGGGCATGGCACCCAGCACGGATGGTCACCAGGAGTCTGAATAAAACATTGCTGGAAGGAGCTGGTGGCATGGTATTGTTCTCACCCGGCCCTGGCCCTACGCGCCCTGTCCCTGCTCAAGGCAGGGTAGAGCCAACAATCGAACCCAGGAGTCCTGGCTCTCCACAGACCCCTCCTCCCAGCAGTGGGGATAGAACCCAGGAGTCCTGGCTCTCCACCCCCCCTGTCAGAACCGACCCCCCCCAGTGGTGGGGGTAGAAGCCCCCCCATTCTAAGCCCCCCACCATAAAAGGGAAGCAGGAACCCTGAACAGCTGTCCCGGGGGGGGTGGGGGCCTCTGGGCCACGTGGCTCCCAGGTCCCTGTAGCTGGGGGGGAAGTAGGGGCTGGGGGGGCTGGGCCCTGTCACCCCCACCCAGCCCAGCCCCCAAACCCCGCCCCCCTCCAGAGCCCCGGGCGGCAAGAAGGAGGCAGAAGTTACAGGCCTTGGGCCCCTCTGCTCCCCCTCGGCCGCTCCTGGTGCTCCGGGTCCCCGCACACCACCCCCACATCCTCGCTGTGGGCGCAGTCGTGCTGCTCGGGGGGGGCGCTCCGGCACTCCAGCAGGCTGCGCTCCGAGCCTTGGCACTGCACGTCGTCCAGCAGGATGGGCAGCGTGGCCCCTTGCCCGAACTCCGCCCGGCGCGCCACCCTCAGCGCCCGCCCGTAGCCCAGCTGCCGGCACACCACAGCGGCTGCCCGCCCGTCGAACCGATCGTCGCAGACTGTGCCCCACTGGCCCCCCACCAGGATCTCCAGCCGGCCCCGCCCAGGCGCTGCACCCCTGTGCACCAGCCGCACCGTGCCAGGGGGCAGCTGCCGGGCGGGGCCCTTGGCCCCCAGCCGCCTCCGGGGTCCCATCTTCCTGGGGTGGTGCCCAGACGCTCGCCTGGGAGGGTGGGGGGTGGCAGGGGGTGGCAATGTTCTATGGGGCAGCTGCGGGTTGGGGGCTGGGGAGGTTGTGGGGGGTGACCCTGTGATGGGGGAAAGATGGGGGCTGGAGGAAAGGTGGAGGTTGGGGGCTGGGTGGGTTGTGGGGGGCCACCCCGTGCTGGGGGAAAGATGGGGGTTGGGGGGCAGCCAGGGGATGGGGGAAAGATGGGGGTTGGGGGCTGGGGGGGTCGTGGGGGGTGGCCCAGTGCTGGGGGGATGGTGGGGGTTCGGAGGCTGGGAGGCGCGGCTTTGTGGGCTGCTCTTGGCCTCCAGACGCTCCAGCAGCTGCTGGTACCAGTTGGGGGTGGTGGGGGGCAGGCTCGGCCCTGGCCGGGGTGTGGGAAGTGCCTGCAGCACCCCACAGTCTGGGCGAGCCGGGGGCCTGGCAGGTACAGCTGGGCTGGGCCGAGGGGTGGGCAGGGCCGAGGGCTCTGGGCCTGTGCAGGGGGGGCTGTGGCCCGGGGGGTGGGTGTCAGGCGCCAGGGGGGGTTCAGCTGTTCCCATTGGTTCTGAGCCGGTGCCAAGCCGTGGGGTGGTCACTGCGGGCGGTGGGGCCGGTGTGATGAATTCTGCAACAGGAAGGGGGGGCTCATTTGGGATACAGCTCTGCCCCCCACCACGTTTATCCCCCATTTACAGAACAAACGTACAGAACTGACCCCCCCCCAGTGAGTCGGCACCAGAGCCAGGGAGAGAACCCAGGAGTCCTGGCTCCCAGCCCCCTGCCCCCCCTCCCAATGGCCCAGCAGCTTCCCAGAGACCTCAGCCAGCTGCAGTGGTGACCCCCCCCCCCCGGCTCGGTCCCCCCGCACTCACTCTGTGTTGGGCGGAAGTGGATCAGCTTCCCTTGGATGGGGACGGGCACGGGGCTGATCCCGCACTGTCCGGGGGACGCCCGCCTGCGGGGAGAGACACCCGTTACAGGGGGCCCGTGCACAGCCCCCCCCCCCCGCATGCTGGGAGCCAGCCAAGCCATGTCAGAGTGAGACGGGGCCACGCCTTGCCCATGAACCTGCCAGGGCCAGCGGGCAAAGGGGGGGACAGTAGGTACCTGGAGGGGTCCACGATCCGGTACAAGATCCCAGCCGGCACGGCTGCACTGGCGATGGCCGTGGCGAGGAAATAGAGCTCCCCTGCAGGGACAGCGGGGTTAGTAACTGGCCACCAAGTCCTCCCCTCAGGGGAAACTGAGGCACGGGAGGGAGGCCACAAGTTTGTGGAAGCAACAAGAATAGAACCCAGGAGTCCTGGCTCCCGGCATTACCCCCTCCATTCTCCCCCACTGGACCCCAGACCCCTCCCAGCACTGGGGCAAGAACCCAGGAGTCCTGGCTCACAACCCCCACTGGACCCCAAACCCCTCCGAGCACCGGAGCGAGAACCCAGGAGTCCTGGCTCACAACCCCCATGGGACCCCAGACCCCTCCGAGCACCGGGGCGAGAACCCAGGCGTCCTGGTGGAGCGCTGGCTCTAGGCTGCCAGGGTCCCAGCCAGCCCCCTTGGTGTCCTGGCTGTGCCCCCCCCGCTCACCGGCCTCGTCCTCGGCGAAGGAGATGATGTGGGGCACGTGGTGGTTGAGGAGGCCGGGGAAGGCGCAGGTCTGGCCCTGGCCCATGCACACCTCCTTGTAGTGCCAGTGCCCGGAGCCAGCCTCCTCCCGCAGCGACATCAAGCGCCTGGGGGGAGATGGAGCCATGGGGATGGGGGTCAGTAACCAACACGAGCTATGGGGGGGGGCTGTACCCACCCCCTTCCGTAGGAGCCGTGGGGACAGTTATATTGCCCCCTGCAGCCCCCCTGGGCGCTCCGGGTCAGGAACTTCCCCCTCCCCACATCCCCACAAGGCAGAGTCTGTCCCGGGGGAGGGAGGGTGGTTCTGTGTCCCATGCAGAAAATCCCCCTCATCCGTGGGGCACACTGGTCAGGGAGACGTCCTGAGAGCAGTTAGGGGGCAGCCCCATAGCCCTGTGGGCCATGGACACATGCCCACACAGCCCCCCGGATGGGTCCCCAGCAGGGTATGACCCCCCGCGCCGTGTGCTACCGGAGCGCTCCCCCTAGCCTGCAGCAGTAGCAGGCTGTTCTCCCTGGGCCCATCCCAGGGGCCCAACCTACCCGCTCATGAAGTCCCCGAAGATGTAGAGGCCGCGCAGGTTGGGGCTGTGGCAGCCACGGTACACGTAGCCCCCTGTCACCGAGCGCCCCAGCTCGTGCGAATAGGCGAATATGGGGGGGACGTCGTCTGCAAGACACGGCGCGGGAGGAGCTCAGCTGGGGATCAGGGGGAAGCAACCCCCACGGCCCCTGCTCGATGCAGCCTCCCTCTCCTGCCCCACGGTGCTGGCACCACGGGGGTGTAGGGGGGCCCACAAGGGTTTATTGTACCTGGGACCCCAGAGTAACGGGTACCAAAGCCCTTTCCCTGCCCCCTCCCCCCCAAGCCATCCGGTCCTCTGACCTGGGCCTGGGTGGAGACAGTGCCCCCCTGAGGGGACAGGCCCCTGCCCCATTCCCACCCCCCTGAGCCAGCCAGTCCCTGCCTGGGGCTGGATGGGAGCCGGTGCCCCCCGAAGGGACAGGCCCGTCCGGCCCATGGTGCCCCCCAAGGGAAGAGGCCCGTCAGGCCCATGGTGCCCCTCGGCGCGGCCGTACCGAGCGAGGCGTTGGCGCACAGTGCCTGGTCGTAGCAGGCGAACCCTTCCTTCGCCCGCCAGCCGTAGTTGGCGCCCGGCACGATGACGTCCACCTCCTCGTACTTGTTCTGGCCCACGTCCCCGCAGAAGATGCGCCCGCGCCCGGCGCCGCTGGCGGGGTCGCCCCTGTCCACGGAGCAGCGCCACATGTTCCGCACCCCGTAGGCGTAGACCTCGGGCCGGGCCCCGAGCTCCCCCACAAAGGGGTTGTCGGGCGGGATGCGGTAGGGGGGGCCGTCGGCCCCTGGCTCCACGTCGATCCGCAGCACCTTGCCCAGCAGGGACGACCTGGGAGGGAGGCAGGGGAGCTGGGAACAGACGCTGCAGGGGCAGAGCCGGGGGATCAGGGCCCCAGGGGGTTCAGGAACAGACCCGGGGGCTGGGACCGGGGGGATCAGGACCCCAGGGGGTTCCGGAACAGACACTGCAGGGGCAGAGCCGGGGGATCAGGGCCCCAGGGGGTTCAGGAACAG